TAGATAAGTGTTTAATTTTTTTGTGTCACCCTTTTTTTATAGAAAGAAAACTGTCCTAAAATTTGTTTCTCAATATGTTTATAACAGTTTATATATTTCCGTAGAAAAATCTCAATTTCTCTATTTCTATTAATTTTCTTATATTTTTAAATACCTTGACTTAATTTAAAGTTTCAGCTAAATGTTTAGTTACCCGATATGCAAAATTTACATATGAACATTTACTTCAATTCGGTGTAACACTTTTACATAAGAGTATGTTGAGTAGTAGCTGAGTAGTTGTAGTTGTTGTAAATACTAGCTCTAATAGTGGTTTTTCTCTTACAAACACTTTATTAATATGCACAAGTTGATTACTGAGTGTCTCATGGGATGCAATGTTATTTTCTATTTGCGCCTGTTAGTATGCTTCAAATATTTACCTGCATATTTTGCTAGCAATAACTACCCAACAGTTGAGCAGAGAATCAATGTATACTTTTTTAAAAAAAGGGCTAATTTTGATCTAAAAAATGTATTTACTTGCTTGACTTGAATTTATATATTGAAAGGTAAAAAGCGAAAATCCATCCGCCACTCTGGTAACTCCAAGTATTCCAAAGAGTAATCACTTTATTTTATTTTTATTTTAGGTAATTTAATATTACCCGATCTACAGGGTAATGTTATATTTACTAAAACTTTTTGGTTTGTAAGACTTTTTATGCAAATACTCTTATACTTAGTCATGTCTGAATTTGACTTTAAATTAAAATGTTTTAGTAAAAGCCATTTAGTTTAGCTGCATCCAACTTCTAATGCAATTACTTTTGAAAATGAACACGATAGAGTAAATGTGAAATGGTTTAATAAGATTATGAAAGTATTTTACTTAAATGTAGAGTAAAATTACTATGAAAATCCCACATACATAAATATGTAGTGATTTTGAGGAAGATTTTCCTGGAAATTTTTTAATTAAAAATGTTTAAACTTTAAACTTGTCCATCCCTAACTTAATGTTTAAAAAAGTTTATATTACTTGAAATATCCTGCAAATTGTTGATTCCAAGAAATTAATAGATAATATCTCTTTAATTTAACTATTTCAAACGTTTAACAAAGCTAAATGTATGTTTTTGATTAATAACTAGTTTAATTTCTAATTTATTAAGTATTCCCTTGTATATTAACAAATTTCAAAGAATTATATTCAAAATCCATTCATACTTATTTGCTTTAGATAAATATTTATATTACTATAGCATACCTTGAAGCGTTTTTATATAAGTTTTTGTTAAATTATTATTTCTTTGAACAAATACCTGGATTTTATTTTTAACATTTTAATAAAACTAAAGCAAGTTTTGAGGAAAATTAACACAACAAAAAATAAGCTTAATTTAGTCAATTAAAAATTGTTTTTAATGCCTAAAATTATACTTTATTTTAGTAACATTTAACAATATAAAGCATACTTTATATTGCATAGATCGAAACGAACAGTAGTCGAATAGTTAAAGTAATGTCGTACTTGAATGTAACGTTTTCATGTCTAGCCTCATATGCTGGGAGTTTTGTGGCGAAATAGGTTCCCTATAATGGTCTGGTTAGATTTCAGCAGTTCATATCCTTAGAACCTTTTTAGTCCGACGACTAAACACAATAGCTTGCTATTGTTTCCACTTTTTGGCCGTTCTTCACATACGATATCTTATGCTTCGTAATGGATCTATTATTTTTTCTTTTATACCGTTTAAGCAGCATATCGGACCTGCAAAATCGTCTTTCAAGCTCATGTTTAAGTTTAGGAACAGTTTTCATGGAGTGATGTCTCCGATTTCCAATTTCCCTGCTTTTTAATGAGTTCTGCTGCACGCGCAAATGTTAGTATGTTTATGAAGGTCCCTTCACAACAGTCTTTGTTCAGTAATGCTTCTAATTCTTGGTCTTTAAACTTTCTTCGATGACGTGGGAGATTTTTGTTGTCCTCTCTGTCAAAATTACCACTTCTGATGTTCACAATCCATCTCCCTTAAGTTTCAGTGAGCAATCAAAGTGCTTAAATGGCCCTTTTGTAAGTTTTTTCGATTTTGCCTAAAATCATACTCCATTTCTGAGACGCATTAGTTTTTAATAAGTACATTTCTATATATTTTAATAGTTATCACCTTAAGCGTTTATATGCCTTTCTTAAAAGCCTAAAAGTAGGCTTTCAAATGTACTAATTATGGAACTAGTTAGTTTGCTTTCATGTACGATTGGTTTAAAAACATTCTACTTAACATTTTGATCCTAAAAATAGACTTTAATTTTTCTACAGCGTTATACCAGTAATAAACAGTTAAAATAAGTATTTTTTTTATATATTTCTTGTTAATATTTTTCATGGCTGTTGCTTCTAAAAAGACATTTCTTGTTAAAGTATAAATATTTTCCCTACAGCCTTGAAGTATGCTTTAACGTTTAATTAAAACAACGCCTTTGCATACTTTAAGTTCTTTTGAAATAAAAAGAAAATATTTTTAATTTAGAATAATATTCTTTAAGCAATAATATAGTTCTATTACATTCTTGAAAATTTAGGCTTCAATGATTTTGTATGAACTTATAGCAAACTAAAGAATACTTGAAGAAAAAATTTTTTTATAAGAATTAAACCTATTAATGTTAACATTACCATAAAAAATTTGCTATATACTGCTTGTGAAAAAATCAGTTTTCTTTAGCAAATAAAATTCTTTTCAAATAAATCTTATAACTATGATTTAATTTCTAATAAAATGACATTTATTATTCAATTAAAATGTCTTTTAGAAATGAAATTTACCTCAAAAAACCATTTCAATTAATTTTCAAGTTTTTAAAGCATACTTGTAGGTACTTAAAATATTGTATAATTAAAAAGAAAACACTTAAATTTGAAACCAATATTAGTAAGCAATTAAAACGAAATTTCTTAAACTAATCTCTTTATATAAATTACTTACTTGCTGTAGACTAAAGCTAATCATTACAACAATGATGACATAATTATTTTAACAAACAACTAAAAGTATGCTGTAATAAACCAAATTAGCTACACCTCAAACTAGGCTATACATGAAATGAAACATGTTGTAAACTTTAATTTATACACTTAAATATGTAAGTAGTTTGTTAAGCTTTTTTTTTTGATAACATTTCTTAACAATTCTACCAAAATCTTTTCTTATAAATCTTCTTTGTTTGGCTTACATTATTTCTCACCACAAAAACCTTAAAGTGATTTTGTGTTTAGTAGTTTCTAAAACCAAAAAGCTATTTATATACACTTTTTATAAAACGCTTTTAGAGCATACAAGTGTATATTTTCTTATGTTTTATACTCTCACTGTTATACTGCATAAATTTTGTGTAATGAAAATAATTATATGCACATAAATTTTACGCTTAAATACCAACCATCCCAAACAACTCTTTAGAGACTGTGTGTGTGTGTGTGTGTGAGAGCCCCTTGGAAAAGCTACTGCAAATGAGAAGGACATGTAAATGTAGTAGAAAATTTCCTTTACATTTTCTTTATTTAATTTTTCCTTTTTTTTCCTCTTTTAACCAGTATATAAAGGTGAATAATTGTTAAAGAGATTTTTGTATTTTATTACCGTTGGTAAATGAAAATTAGTTATGGTAGAAAAGAGAGAAAAATTTAAATTATGAAAATATGCAAAACTTTGACTTGTAAATCACTTATGTTGTTGGGTAGAGTTTTACAAGACAAATTGTTTAAGGAGCTGCTTAATAAATTTGTTACATTTTTACTTTTGCAGAGCCTTGAAATAGGCAACAAGTTATGAAATATGATTTGACTTAAAATACAACAAAAAATAATTAGCTTTTTATTAAACTTTCTCTTTTTAGTTTTCTATAGAAAAAACTGTTATACACAATATTTTCTATAGAAAACAATGCATATACAAGTTCTTCTAAAGAAAAAAAAGATTATACACAAATTATACTAAAAATAAACTGTTATACAATAATTTTTGTATAAAAGTAACTGTTAAACTCTAAATTTTTATCGAAAATACTGTCATGCGCTATATCTTATAGGATAAAAACTGTTATACACAAATTTTGTATAGAAAAAAACTGTAAGACTAAAATTTTTGTACAGGAAGAAACTGTTATACTCAAACCTTTTTCTATAGAAAAACTGTTTTTTCTATAGAAACACTATTTTTTCTATAGAAACACTATTTATACAAATTTTTCTAAAGAATAAACTGTTATACACAAATTATACAAAACATAAACTGTTATACAAAAATCTTTTCTAAATAAAAAACTAGTACAGCTGTTATACACAAATTTTTTATGAAAAAATATTATTTTCGGATAGATGAAACTGTTATACACATAATTTATCTCTAAAAAAATTGTTGTACACCAATTTTTTACAGGAAAAAAATTTAAATATATAGAAAAAACTGTTATACACAAAAAAATCTGTTATAAAAACATGTTTCTAAAGAAAAATCTGTTATACAATAATGTTTCTAAAGAAAAATCAGTTATACAAAAAGAAAAAACTGTTATACACAAACTTTTTTAAAGAAAAACTGTAATTTTCTAAAGGAAAACTGTTATACACAAAGTTTTCTTTAGAAAAATTCACACATATAAACTGTTATACACAAAAACTTCAAAAAAACTGTTATACTTAAATTTTTCTATAGAAAAAAAACGGTTATACAAAAATTTCAAAGACACATGTCTATACAGAAAACTGTTATACAGACATTTTTCTTATTTTTTTTTTTCAAAATTGTTAATCGATCGTCTAGTGCCAACAACACTTTTGTAAATTATTCGTTCATTGATAAGAGTTTCTTAATTTTTCCATATTTTAAATTTCGTATAACAGTTTTAGCAGTTTGAAAGTAAATAAATTTGTACTTAAACCAGAACTTTTCAAACTATTTTTTTCTGACACTAACAATTCTACAAAATGAACTTTTGTGTCAAATTCTCTAAATTTATAAATTTAATAAAGACAAATTTAAATTTCAAGCACGTAAATTAAAGCAAATTGTCAGTGTGTTAAATAAAAAATCAAACGTAATTTAGAAAAAAAAAATTCTTTAGAAAAAAAACTAAAAAATTCAAAATTCTAAAAAGAAAAAACTTTCTCGACAATGCAGTCACTAAACCACTTCAAGTGTCGCACTAATTGCAAACACCAAGAATGTCAACGTCATGCTTACTTGGGGGTGGTGGACCGCAACGAGGCACCCGACTGCGGCGGCACTCAACAAGAGCTGACGGGCTCTTCAATTTTCTTGGAAAATGTCATAGATTTATCACACACTTTGGCACAGATTATGATTTTATGCGGCATACATGAGTGTAAAGCAAAAACCTCGGTAGACATTATAACTTACTCTTTGCTGCATTATGATTTGGTGTGCTACTGCCTGGATGCCACACCAACGAAGAGATTACGCAAAGAGGATATTTTTCATGAATTGGGTAGAAAGTGTCTGATGAATCGTGTGGAGGCTCATTTGTGTTATAATATCATCAAAAGAGGCTTTAAGGCTTTCTACTATAGACCTCAAGGCCAGGAGGCAGAGGAAGGGAAAGAGAATGATAAGCCTACATTTTCCCAGGAATGTGTTTATGTGCATGCTGCCAAAAAGACAGCAGAAGCTTATGCTCAATTTGAGGGTTTGTCTTGTGATGAACAACGTGGTGTGGAGGCTAAAATTATGGCGGTCTATAAGAAATTCTATGACCGTCTGCAAACACGACAAGCTAAGCCCGCTCAAGAAGATTGTAATTGTTGCTTTTGTGCCAAGACTAGAGGTCATTTGGTTTATGGTCAACCTCCACCTTGTGCTGAAAGCCCGGCCAAAAAATCACATACTTGTCCTCATTGTTGTAAAAAGAAAAAATCTCTTAAACTTATACATCCTCGTACTATTACACCTAAATGCCCGGTTTGTCATCGTTCACGCAACTTTTGTACTTGTGCTAAATATGAATTCGATTTACAATGGATTGATAGTATTTGGTCTAGACCTGATATGCAGCTTTATTATGAAGAGAATATAGTGAAAGTACCTGTGGAAACTATACCCGGTTGTTCTCCTCAATGTGGCGAGGAGGAGAAGGGAGAAGAAAATCAGCCAGGAGTAGAAGAGCCAGAAATTGCTGGTCTAGGAGAGCAGGAAGATAAATAAGAGGAGAAAGGGAATTAAATGAAGGATAATTTAAGGGATAAATTTGAACTTATGTGTGCGTGTTTTGTTTTTGCAAAAAATTTTCTTAAATTTGATTTTTTCACATAAATTTCATTGTTTAGACCTAAATTTTCTAAAAAATTTTTCAAAAAAAATTTTTTATTTTTAGTAAATTTTTGAAAAATTTTCATTCTTTAGTAAATTTTCGAAAAATTTCCTTTTTGTAGGAAATTTTCGAAAAATTTCATTTCTGTAGGAAATTTCGAAAAATTTCCTTTCTTAAGGAAAATTTCGAAAAATTTCCTTTCTTAAGGAAAATTTCGAAAAATTTCCTTTCTTAAGGAAATTTTCGAAAATTTTCTTTCTTAAGGAAATTTTCGAAAAATTTCCTTTCTTAAGGAAATTTTCGAAAAATTTCCTTTCTTAAGGAAATTTTCGAAAAATTTCCTTTCTTTAGGAAATTTTCGAAAAATTTCCTTTCTTTAGGAAATTTTCGAAAAATTTCCTTTCTTTAGGAAATTTTCGAAAAATTTCCTTTCTTTAGGAAATTTTCGAAAAATTTCCATTCTGTAGGAAATTTTCGAAAAATTTCCATTCTGTAGGAAATTTTCGAAAAACTTCCATTCTTTAGGAAATTTTCGAAAAACTTCCATTCTTTAGGAAATTTTCAAAAATTTTCATTCTTTAGGAAATTTTCGAAAAATTTTCATTCTTTAGGAAATTTTTGAAAAATTTCCTTTGTTTAGGAAATTTTCCTAAATTTTGCTTTCTTTAGGAAATTTTCGAAAAATTTGCTTTCTTTAGGAAATTTTCGAAAAATTTGCTTTTTTTAGGAAATTTTCGAAAAATTTGCTTTCTTTAGGAAATTTTCGAAAAATTTGCTTTCTTTAGGAAATTTTCGAAAAATTTGCTTTCTTTAGGAAATTTTCGAAAAATTAGCTTTCTTTAGGAAATTTTCGAAAAATTTGCTTTCTTTAGAAAATTTTTGCAAAATTTCCTTTCATTAGTAAATTTTTGCAAAATTTACTTTCCTTAGTAATTTCTACTTAACTTTTCCTTCTATTAAAGAATTCATCCTAAAATTAGGCAATAGTTTTTATTTACAAACCCCTTTATAGTAGGCTATTAAAATAATCTTGTTTAAAATTTGATTTATAACATTCTAAACAAAATTATTTATTTAAGCTGTAATTTGCCCATAATCAAGCTCCCTTTTCACCCGTATTTCTTATTGAACATCTCATCTTAAAAGTATACCAAACATTTTGTTTGCCTAACTCTTTAGTTAGCACAAGTTTGATTTATTACATTCTTAATAAAATTATTTATTTAGGTTGTAATTTTCCTCCAAATGTTCCAAAGATTCAATTTTATATTAAACTATACTTTGTGTAAAACACCTAAGCCTATATGTATACTATAGTTTTTATTTGCTAAACTCTTTAAATATTTATAGATTTTAAAATTTCTTGTTTTAATATGCCTAAAAAATAAAATCATTATTTTGACAGTTTCTATTTATTTTATACCTCTTAAGACTTTTTTTGCTACAAAAAGTTACCTTTTTTCTTTGTCTGCCTTTAGTTTATGAACTCATTAAAGGGTTGTTTGTGAGAAAACGAAAAGTATGTCTTAGAAAAAAAGGTTATTTTTTCCTTATCTAAATTTACTTGGACCTAATTTATAAATAACCATCTTAAGTATTATTAATTTTAGTCTTTTGCCAAGAAAAAAAGGGTTTTTTTTTGAACATTAAATAAATATGAAAGTTTTGGGCTTTTATTTTGAACCTTCAAAAAAGGTAAATAAAAATTAATGTCTACTTTTGGGCTGGCAAATAAAAAGTTATTTACAGTTTTAATTTAAAGAAAATTAAAAAAAATCCTGGATAAAATTTAAATTAAATTTGTTACAAGTTGTTAATTAAAATTAATTTTCTTTTCTATAGCTAACCAAAAAGTATGCTACATTTTTTTAAATGCTTTAATATCATAAAAATCAATTGAATTGCAGCGAATTAATTATAACGAATAGTTGTTATTAAAACTTATTACTCTGTCGTTTTTTATTACCAAAAAAGGGCCATTAACAAGTATCTGTACATGTTTTTTGACAAATTAAAGCTGTCAATCATACAACACGTACCACACACACACTCACACACACACACAATATTGCAATTACTGTGTGTATAAATGTATATGGGAAAACCATAAAAAATGTCCTCTTTTTTACTCACTTTAGTTTAGTGCTTTTAAGCTCCTATAAAAATTATTGTTTTACGCATATGACGCACATAAAAAAATTTGTTGCACATCTGCCTTTTCTACAATTTAAGTTTTTCTCTCTCTCTCTCTTATGGTTTTTTCCAACGTTAGATGTTATAGTGTTTTATCCTTTTTGTGCTAAAGTATTAAAAAAATGGATTTATGCATTTGAGTTATATGGTAACATGCACATAAATACATTTAAAATGTATTTTTTTTTATTAGTATTTAAAAGCAACAGCCAGCAACAACTGTGATAAGAAATAAATAACGTTTTGAAACAAGTAAGAATGTATAGTAGGTCATGGCCGACCATATGATACCCTACATCAGTGAGTATGTTATATGAAACTGAGATTTGCCGAAATTTCTAGGGATTCTACAACATATAACATAGTTATAAGCTCAAAAGCCCTATTCGGGGGTGCAGTTGTATGGGGGCTAGATGAAATAATAGACCGATTTCAACCAACTTCGTTCTTGGGTCAAAAGAAGAGTATGTGTCAAATTTCATCAAATTATATTAAAAATTGCGACATGTGGCGTGCGCACAAGGTTTACATGGACACACAGAAAGACACACAGACGGACAGACAGACATCGACTCATAAGGAGATTCTGAGCCGCTTGGTATACTTAAAGGTGGGTGTAGGACCAATATTATTGTGTGTTACAAACACCAGCACAAACGCATAATACCCTCCCCACTATAGTGGTAAAGGGTATAAATATATGATTGAGAATGTAAGTAACAGTGAAGAGTGATAAAAGAGAAAAACATTTGTATAGGAATTTGTTTTTATTAAAAATCATTTACTGCAATTTAATGGGTTAACACGAACCTTTAATACCTTGCATCTAAGTATAATTCTAAAAAAATTTTCAAATTTAAATTATGTTCTCTAGAAAGGTTGTTCTCTGAAAGGTTTGATATGAATTTGTTTTTATAAAAATTGTAGAAGTGTTCTTTCTATAGAGAAAATCTGTGGAAAAATATCTGCATATGAGTATTTTCTATTTAAAAAAAACAGTATAATAGTTTTTATTTCATAGAAAAATAATCTGTATAACAGTTTTATTCTGCAGATAAACGTTTGTCCGTCCGTCTGTCTGTCTGTCGGTCTTTCTCTGTGTCTGTCCATCTGTGTGTCTGTTGAAATGAATTTTCTAAAGACCCCAGATATTTTCGAGATCTAAAAAAACGGTGTAATAGTTTTTTTCTATAGAAAAGTAATATGTATAACAGTTTTATTCTATAGATAAACGTTTGTCTGTCACTCTGTCTATCTGTCTGTCTGTTCGTCTCTCTGTCTGTTCATCCGTTTGTGTGTCTGTTGAAATAAATTTTCTAAAGACCCCGAATATTTTCGAGATCTAAAAAAAACAGTATAATAGTTTTTATTCTATAGAAAAATAATCTGTATAACAGTTTTATTCTGCAGATAAACGTTTGCCCGTCTGTCTGTCCATCCGTCTGCGTATCTGTTGAAATAAGTTTTCTAAAGACCCCAGATATTTTCGTGATTTAAATCTTCAATAATTCTGTCGGACATGCTTTCCAAACACACTATGCTGAAGAGTATATAAGAGTCCGCAAAGGTGAATATATGTAGAACTCTTACATGTTTTCTATAGAATAATCTGTATAAGAATTTTTCTATAAAAAATCTGCAAAATGTTTTGTCTATTGAAAAAAATCAGTTTAATGTATTTTTTAATACAGTATGAGAGTTTTTTAAGAGAAAAAATTGAGTATAAGAGTTTTTTTAGAAAAAATCTGTATAAAAGTTTTGTTTTTTTTTTTAATTGTGTAAAATTGTCACTATTGCAAAAAAATTCTATAGAAACGAGAAAGAGTTTCTTCTATTGAAAAAAATCTGTATTAGAGTTAAATTTTAAAAAAAATCTGTAGAAAAGTTTTTCCATAGAAAAATACTGTATAAATGTTTTTTTCTATAAAGACATCAGTTTAAGAGTTTTTATCTGTAGAAAATATCTATATAAAATATTTTTCCTATAGAAAAAATCTGTATAAGAGATCAGATCAATATATAATGGAAATTTATTGCAATTTTTTATGAAATATTAAGGAAAAAGAGGAAAAATTAAATCGCATATTATTTATGAACATTTCTTATTCTGAATGAAAATGTTTCATTTCAGATATGAATTATTTTTTTCTGGGCATTTTTAGGTTACACAAAGTTCTACAAGTTTTTCACTTAAGATTTATATTTTGCAGCAAATTTTATTAAATAATAAGGCGCAATTTTTACATTCATCTCTTTTTATGCCATATTTGCTTACAGCAAAAAATATATAAAACCTGATAATTTATTAAAGTAAATCCTTTACACACATTCACAAACATAAATCCATTTAATACATACTTACATACACACACACACACGGCAATATAATATATTTAAGTAAATGACTGGATGGCTACATATCAAAAATAAAATTTATATTCTCATGCCAGTAAAATATGAAATATATTTTATTAAATTACTTGTAAAAAAAAACTTAAATAAATATAAGTAAATAAATTTTGAAACATTGAGTAAGAGTAGTTTTTTATATGTATTGTGTATAGTATGTCCCGTAGTGTCAGTTGTTTATTGGAGTTGTCTGCCAGAGAGGACATTTATTATTAAAATACAAAAAGCAACATATGAAAAAGTACGACATGTAAATCTTTTAAATCGTTGGGGGATTATGCATATGAAATAATCAGCGTTTAAATATGCAGCACTAGCACCACCTCTCTTGTATATGACTATAAAATAAATATGAAACTTTATAATTTTTGTATCACTTTGCTACTAAAAATTGCAGTCATATATATTCG